CCAGACTGCCTGAAACCTCTGGAATCCTACCCCCTCAGGCTCTCAGGTGCTACGATTAGAGGCAGGAGCCACCATTCAAGGATTAAGAAAACATTATCTTTATGCTTAAAAATCCAGCACCAATTTGGTCTAAGAGAATGCTGTGACGGTTAAATTGCATACATCATTTCCTACTGTAATTCCAGTTATCAGGGGCTTTAGCTTTCAGACAGACTCTAAGGCTCCTTATTCAGCCCGTCCCAGGAAGTGAGCCGTCTTCGGTGGCTTCTAACGGCACTTACTCGGAGATTACGTCTCACAGCAAAGGTAAAGGATGTGAACTCCCCATCCGCCGCCCCCGTGTGTGTCTGCCACGACCCCTCCATTACACAGCCCAGTGGTGGCTCCTTCCTTTCCTTTAAGGGAAATTGGACAGAACCGAAGAGATGGTATGCGGTGACTCCCAACACCTCAGAAAAGCTTCTGCCGGATGGAAGGTGCTGGGCCTGGTGCCAACTCGTGCCGGTTTTGAGTGAACGCAAGGGGGCCCTCCCTAGGAGCCACTAGCCACGCCCACTACACCAGATTGCAGAACAGAACTGGCTCACCCACCTGATTCTCCCCACTGAGACAGTTTATACACAAAACAAGCCATGTGCTTAGAGAAGAAAAAGCGGGGAGGGCAGCTGTCCGTGTCTGGTGTCCGGTGTCTTCAGGCCCCACTTGGTCATGTACTAATCCTGAATGATGATTGTGAATGAGGGCAACAAGCGGGAAACATACCATTCACGTTTCTTCTGCCGAGAGTTATGAGTCAAACCACACCGACTGATAACCTACTAAATATCAGGCAGTGTGCTGTTTAGACTCAGACGCTGGGGCCTTTTCCTTTTAAAACTTCCTTTCAATAAAGTATGTCTGAATTATGGACAAAGGTGGGAATGTGTATCTGCTCAAGAATAATCCAGGTGTCATCTGTATTAAACAAGGGACACTCATGAATGTTCTTTGAAACAGCCACGGGGTTTCTCTGTGTAGCTCTGGCTGTCCCGGAACTTGCTCTGTAGACCAGGCTGGCCTCGAACTGCCTCTGCCTGCCAAGTGCTGGGATTAAAGGTGTGCACCACCACTGCCAGACCAACAACTTTTATTTTTATAAAACGGACCGCGAGTGAATGCATCGGGGAGCGGCACTTTCTTCTCTGTGGCAGGACACTTACCATGTTTGAGAGCACACGTTCAGAGCTTGGATCGGTGTCAATCTCCCACTGGAAAAGCTTCCACTCCAATTATAATCACCCACGGAGACAGAATGCAAATAACCGCTTTTGCCCTTACTCAACATGGCCGAGTAGCTGAGCTGCCTGGAGGAGCCCAGCCTGGGGGAGCCTCGGGACACCGAGCTACTTACAGCGAAGGGGTGGTAGGGGGCACTGGGGGGGACCCCACGGGGCCCTGCTGGTGGAGGAAGCACGGACAGTCCTGT